GTGAATGATGTCGGAGGTGAAAAAGTAACACGTTTAGCGGACTGTCAATATTTGAAAATGTAAAACTGTATAATTATACCATTATCTGTCTCATCGAAGGATAAATTTTGTCACTACATGACAGGCAGTCTCTTCGCTATATTAGAATTTGCACTAAGATAAACCTTCCTACTTTCTTTCAATCTCCAGAAGTTTGAACCTTCGCTTTTTTAAGACACCTTTGTTGAGGACAGCGGCCACTCAGTCCTTCTCTTCGCCTCTGCGATTAGAGCATCCTTTCAGAAGGCACATTTGCCTTATAGGTAGATCTATCATTTTCAGGACATTACCATCACCTTGTTGTGTCATATCCATGTTCATTCCGACTCACTCATATTCGGTGGATGCTGGGAAATATGCAACACAATGCCATTTCTTATGCGTGAGAGATTACTCTAGTGGTTCTGACTGCTCAAAAAGTGAAAATCGTCGGTGAACATACACTTACCACAACTGAATTAGTGTCAACGCATATATGCATAAGGTGGGTGTTATTACAAGAAATACTTGCCATCGCCTTTACTAAGTGCACTAGTTATACAATAAAACTAGCATGTCAGAAGGCCTTCCCAATTAAGGCGTTTATCAAAAAGAACCAGGGGCAGAAAAGGAGCTCCAACAGATACAGAGACTGATCTGCTTAGCTACCTCAATTCCAGTTTTCAGCCATGATACGAGTCAACTGAAGTCAAAGAGGAACATCAGCCCTGCATTCAGTGATTATGATATTCTGCCCAATACTTCGATATATCCCTGTTGCGGTGGTACTGTGGCAAAGTCATAATTTCACGGATACGATTAAGTAGGAAGGACAGTCTTTGCCTTAAGGATGAATACGACTGAGCAAAGTATTCACTCTACGGTTGTTTCGACGCAACTAGCCAAGAAATGGGTACAAGAAAACAGAGCAAAATAGGAAGCATGGTGTTCATCTATGCTCACACCAGAATGGGCGAAAGGAACTGCGATGCCATCTGATTTGAGAGCCATACAGAGCTACAATTCGTCTTCACCCACCTCACAGCTCACTACCTAGTGTGGCAATCAGCACAAAGTGTAACCTATGCTATTTGGCCTTATAATAGACATACTTGAACCCTGGTTTGGTGAGGGTGCACCGCACGGAGACCGCTACACAAAATAACAGTGCCCTATAGGAAATGAGTTATGATGCTGAACATGTACGTGAAACATTACAATCGGAGACGTTCCACTACCGGATTAGGGTTACCGTTACATTACTGATTTTCATGACCCATGAGCATTTAGCATATAACGCAACAACACAACAGCAAACAGCTTATAACATTACCTTCGAAGAACCGAGCAGGAGTGGGCAACGCCGGAGTCAACGGCGTAGAAGTGTGACTGACCGGCGGCGGGGGTAACCGAGGAAACGGCGAAGGTACTCGAGGATGCGAGAAATTGTTCGAATCTTCTGTCTGACGCATGGCAATCCATTGCTGCGCAAGCTGAGCCCAGTTCACTAAAAACAGGGAGCTTAAGATTATTCTTCACGATACCCCCTACAACGTCGATTTACTTACTGGTGGATTTAGCACCTTCTGGAAGATTCAGAAGTGGCGAAAGAAATGATCAATAGAAAGCCAAATGGACGGCCATATGCCGACATTTTAACATAGATTTAGAAGAATAACGTCACACTTGCTTTTGGAAAGTAAAAGTTGCTCTCTCTCCGGCTCATACACTGGTATTTCCTCTGTTAATAGGCGTACGGCCGTCCATTTGGAAATTTACGAACTTGTGGCATCTTTCCCGAAAAATCAGGCAAATTCCGCGACTATTCCGACGTTGTCTTACCTTCATCATGTGGAATCGAACTGTAGTAAGATGCCTGCAACCAAGCAGGATACATTTGGGGTATCAAACGAGACTTCAAACGCAGCTTCAGATGTCTACTAATTACAGTGAACCCGATCTGCACGTACTTTTAACGCATCGTACTGCATATGTTTAAATGTCCTTAAAAGATTTATTCACAGTACAGAAAATCCCCGATATAGGTGATTTTCGATCCGGAAACTGAGTGTTGCAGTTGTTTGAATTCATACTTCTTTTAGTTCGGTGTCTTTTCTTGCTGTGTGTCGTTTTGGTAGGGATAGGCAGAGCGTGTTTCAGTAGCCCATTTACTCCAATATCTGCAGATGATTGCTTAGATGTCGGGAACTGCTATTCGCCTTCATTCGACAGAACTCATTTTCAGAAAGACTGATCAGTAACAGGCGTTTCAAAAATACTTGTTGGTTAATACTACTGATCATTGGTATAATATTCCAGCAGCGCTTAGTTGGCTCACCATTTCGTTTTCCCGACAAGCCTTCACCGGTGCATAGCGACTCATGGAGAACAGTCGCAACCGACATCACTCTGCATAACAAATCTTTGGTTTTACTGTTGACCTCTCCGTCTGACTGAGACTAGTTGGTAAATTCGTGAATTTAGGGAAATACAAGAAATATGAATTCGGGAAATAAACGTTCTTTCTTAAATAGATTCGCCAGGTAATTGCATTTATCAGCAAAATAAAGTAGAAAACAAATAAATGAATGTGTACAAATTAGAATTGCGCTCACATGCCTAGAGCCAAAAAATGAATCTGCGATAAAAGAACTGTCAGTGAAATCGATACAGAATTACGAAGCGGACTTAATCGAGACATACTAACATGTGGTTTCTACGCATTGAAAAATTGAATTATCGTCGTTTAACATTCGTTTGATTTCGTCGAACGACCGTTGAAGCTGGTATTTCAGATTGGACACTTGCTGGAAGGCCGCCCTTTCTAAAGACTTGAATCAGTGATTGGTGATTGCCTTAGCGCCTGGAATTCATAAATGAGCATGTGTTGAGAGACGTGTCTTAATGCATATGATTAAAGTGTAAAATCTATTCAAAGAAAAATTTGCTAATGATGCAGCGTTGTTGATGGGTAAAGTCTTTTTTAAATGGTGTAGAGAAAAGCGCTGCAATAGTTCATCTCAAATGGCTGTACGAGTGCCATAGAGATGATGTCAAATGATAAAATGACACTTTAGTATTTGACTCGTTGGCATGAAGTGTTTGGACTTCCACTTTCAAAAAACCGCTGTAATAAGATATTCAGGCATGTTAAATTCTACCTCTTGAAGATTTATTCTGCAGTTGTAATTTTAGTTTAGAAATATTCGAAAGAAGAATATTGGTGGAGAGGTACAACAAGTGCTAGTGTGATCCAATTCTTATTTTTATTAGTCGGCAAAGAATCGAACGTTTGAATAATCAATGAATAGTTTGCCTAGCTTACCGAGAATTTATTTGTGTGGGACAAAGTAAGTTAAAATTATGGTCTAAAATAGCTACCAATCTATTCGTTATCCCTTATCAGTTTTTCATGCAGCTTGATCAGTATCGCCAGCTCGACCTATGCAGGTCCTATGTCTCTCTATCCTGTTTTCTTCAGTTGCGTTGAAATG